CCTTTTTTTCCATTGTGTAAATTGAGAGACTGTTGACAGACTCCTTCAACAAGTCCCTGGAAAGAAGACTGAGGTAGAGACCAGAAGGGGAATGAGGATGGCCTCATTCCATCAGTGAGTTCTTTGTAGGCCATGACTAAATCTTAATCATTTGTAATTGTTCTGACACTTAACTGACATTAACTAAATGTCTGTTGAACAAACAAAAAATAAGTGAATAAAGAACAACTTGATAAGTATTATTAAGTATGTCTGAACTACTTGGAAAGAATTTCTAACATAACCAAGACACTTAAAATGTCACAAAATGATCAGATTTATAGTCTACAAGTCCTACAATATCTAGACATGGCAAGGACAATTTCTAATACAAGATAATACCTGAATTAAAAATAGACCCACTTTAGTTTATGCAAGAAGACGTAAATATTTAACATTTTGATTTTACCTTCCGGGCTTGCTCTTCAGCTCTTTCTTTTTTAATTTTTTCCAGTTCTGCGAGGAGAGCTGCAGTGTCATCATCATCACTCTCCTCTTCAAAGTCTTCATCTTCATCTTCCTCCTTAAAAAAGAATGTGATGGCCCAAGACATTAGAGAGAAAATTCACATTTTTCATTTTTTTCCCATAAAAATTACACGGATCAAATAGATCTTTGGAGCAGGAATAATTTTCCTAGTACTAAAGATAAACACACCTTTATATGATTAAAATGAACAACCAACCCCCCCCAAAAGCTTCTGAATACTTACTAAAATGTCAACCTCTCACAAATTTTAGAGAGTATAATAACTAATAGTATAACAAAGTGCCTTTCAAACTTACAGGATCAAAAGGGAATTTAGATATAAAAGTATTTCTAACACCAGAAAAGGAACACTTTACACTGATACATAGTACATGTGTACATAGTGTCATCACCCTGAGAATCAAAAATAGTTTATTACAGCTCAAAACAGCTTTAAACTAGGAAGAATAATCAAAAGTACAAAAAGGTCGCTAAATTCTCAGAAGAAACCAATTTCAAATGAATAATCATTAAGTCTCACTGAATTCCTCGCACTTAATTACTAAATGATTTAACCCAATCTGTTCACTCTAGAATTAACTGCTGATACATATGCTTAATTAGATGCTACTCAAGAAAGGTCACTTGGATTTTTTCACTGTATGTAGAAAATGGCAAATTAATTATAGACTATGGGTCCTGTTCAATTTTAATGTAAACTAAAGCACTAGTCCTTAAAAACCACTTAGACCCACTTAGGTCACTTCCCTCCCTAAGCACAGAGGGAGCCTCTAAGTGTGCCGCACACCTGGATGGCGTGGTGAGCATCTAACTCGGAAAGGCACTTGGCGTAACTCTAGGGGCTGCTATTGATGGAGCCCCATTCTGAAGAGTGCCCTCTGGAGGTTTTTGTAACATGGGAGCCCAATCACAAAGTTTTAACAGAGGGAATTATTTTTTAGGGAAGCAAATCTTTATTAGATCACTTCCTTATTTGGTTCCTGAGAGCTCAAACTTGTTTTTGAAGTTTGAATAACCACATAGTAATACTTTTTGTTTTAAAATCAACTATAAAGTCTGCCCTGATAGGTGTGGCTCAGGTGGTTGGGCGTCATCCTGCAGAGTAAAAGGTTGCCAGTTCAAGTCCTGGACAGGCCACATGACTGGGTGGCGGGTTCAGTTCCCCACTGAAGCTTGTTCATGAGGCAACCCATCGATATTTCTCTCTGACATCAATGATTCCCTCCCCTTCTTTCTCTTTCTCCCTCCCTTCCTCTTTCTAAAAGTAAATAAATAAAATCTTTAAAAAATAAAGTAAAATCAACAATAAGGTTTAGCATTTGAATAACAGTTAAGTAAAAATAAAGGGCACTTCTTAAAGACAAAAGAGTAAAAAAATATTTCAGAGAACAATATGAACTACTATGGCGATAAAAGGAGGAAACAAAACATACATCTGTTAGAGGATCATCTGCATCGAGGTTGGCAGCGGGAATCTGGTCTAACCGAGGCTTCTTTGACACTGAAGACGAGGTTGTATGTTCTGGGGATAAACAAACATTATATAGCTTACTGCAACAAATACTGTATTTCATGTAACACCTTAGGGACCTGTGAGCACAAACAATTAATTGATAGATTATAACTGTCATGACAGCAGGAATCGAAACCACAGTGCTTGGTAAATAAGCCCTTGGTAATAAATAGTTGTTGAATACGTTAATGAAAGCACTGATTTTAACATGGGAACTGTAGCCTCTCCCAGGAAATTTAAAGACTAGTTCACATATACTGTAAATATACACCCCCAGATGCCTTCCAAGCCAGTGGCAAAAATGGGAGAACTCCACAGACAGAAACTGTGGGGCCTTAAAATTCCGGCTCTTGTAAATAGTCAAAAACCCCTTGATCTGAACTGAAACAATGACTGCTGAATATCCCCGGGTCATCTTGTTCCTTCCAATACAGAACCATAAAAAGATGGAGCTGGAATCGGCCTCAGTATTATCTGTAATCTAACCATATTAGTTAGCAAAGTGTTTCAACTCACACCAATATTTAAAACAAACAAAGTAATCCATTACAATTACCAAATTAAAAAAAAAATTAAACTGTCAAAATTATAAAAAAATGTCAATAATTTTATGCAAGGAATGTCTGAGGTAGTGTTGGTACCTCGAGTTGGGCGGTCCCTGTTTTTTTCCCTTGCAGCAGCTCGCTCTCTCTCTTCCAGCTCTCTTCTGAAGTCACGGTTCCGAACCTCTTCAGGGGCATCCTGAGTGGCCTGTCTAAAGTAGGAACAAACCAGGGCAAAAATGTTTCTTAAAAATACACATGGCTGTAGCAACGGAGGAAACATCACAAAAAAGCAGCTTTGTCCTTGAGTCTCTAAAGTACAGAAGAAGGAACTGGACAACATTATTACTCTAATATGTGGGTTGCTAACAGGCATCCTTGTGATATTCCCAGTATTTCAAGAACCCTGAAATGAATCACATATATTCCTATAATAATGCTACAAATCAATTAAAATGTCTACTTTTTGTCAGTAGGTCAACTCGGCATGTTACAATAACACTTTTAGGCTCATATTGATTAGTACTGACAGTGCATTGTCTTTCTGAAGTGATGTATTATTTTTCCATCTACATGCGGATATTCTTGATTAATAGGAATTTCTGATTAAGAAATACCCAGTTGTTTTTTTTATAATCATAGAGCATAATTTTAGTGTTAGATATTCTATAGCATTCTACTCGTATAAAATAAATGTGATATAAACCTAAACATGCTACCATCTCATGACCATGCCATTTAACCAATTTCATCTTGCTTTGTGAACAATAAAACATGAAAGTCTTCATTACCTATATTTTATTTTTGTATGTGAGGGAAGGTCTCTACTAGAATACTGCTTTGAGAGTTGGCTCAAATCACCTTCTCCTTTTCCTCTCCCACCTCTTGCAGGTTCAAATGTTGGCCGAGCTGCTGTCGTCATCTTTTATGCCTTGAAGAAAAACAGTATCAAGTTATTTCCTATATGACAGATTATCATTCTTAAAGTGTTGACATCCATCCTTGAGAAATAATTTTGTAACTCATTCTCCCAAATTTACTTAAATAATCTCAAACAAAAGTTCTCAAGAAAACAAGTAATGAAGCTCGGGGTGTACAAGGAATATGGCTTCTTAGGTTAACTCCCACTGAGTACAAAAAATTCTGTTTTAAAGATCTATCTGAATGTGTGCTCCTGTTGTCCTGGCTCTACAGCCCTGGGCAAGTCGCTTAGCTTAAAATTTTGTCATCTGTGGAATGGGGATATTTCTCATAGAATTATTTGACAAGGGCAAAGCCCTTGTAAAATACAGCATAGCCATGAGAGAGTATTAAAAATTCTCAACTCCCCCAGAATCCCTAATGTTCACGTTTTATCTAAACTCACACAACATAAAGTAGGCTAGTAACTACAAAAAGAATATTTAAAAATCCCACAAAAAATATACTCTAATCACAATTACTGAATGTCCTGGATTAAAGTGTGCTAAAAACTTCAGTAACGGTTACCTAGGCAAAGTCCTTCAACCTTTTTGTTGATCCGCCTTTCTCTTACAGCCTACAGCATAATAAAAACCAGATCTTTTGTTGGTTATAATTTAAGGAATGCTAAAGAAAACCGAAGCCTCGTCCCCAAAATGTGCTGATAAAACCAGAGACCCGTTCTTTGTTACTTTTGCTTACGGACAGCCAAAATAATCTCCTAGGAGGAGCAACTAAAACCCCGTCGAGCATAGGAAAGAAAGCAAGTGTGCGGGGGATGTTGGGGGAAGCGGCCTATAAATCTCCAGATTTTCAAAAAACGGAAAGGGATTGTATCCATAGGTGGAGAAAAAGGGTTTTCCTGCCGCTGGGGGCGCCGCCGCCTCTCACACATCCCTGGATAATTGTCATTCCCATCTCCCAGGAGTTCACCTTGGGGATGTCACCAAGAACTCTACGCCGATTCGGAGAGGGGTGAGGGGGCCCGATACTGCTTAAGGGAGTCTGCAGTGCTCCCTCCGCGCTGTGCTCCCTCCGCGCTTTGCTCTCTGCAGCGCCGGGGACGCGAAATGCATCCGCCTGCATTGGGCTCCGCCACCCGCCCGCCGCTCTGGGACCTCCTCCATCTACGCTCAGTTCTCAGCCTGCAACTCCGATCCCAACCGCGCTTTCCCGTCCCATTCGGATAAGAAAGACAGACTACTGCTTTCCCGCAGCTCACCTTGGATGAGGTCTGATTCAGCAGCCTCCACAGATCACACTGACTTCATAACGACTCTTCCCTCCCAGAATCCCCTGCACCCGGGACCAAAGCCCAAGACCCGGAAGTAAATCCCAAGCACTTACGCAGTACACCGAGGCGGAGACAGCGACCAATCCGCAGAAGCCAAGGTAGACGTAAGTGTGACGACAGCGAGGGGCGGGGCCGAGACGGCTCAGGGGGCGGGCGTTTGAAATCGGTGCCTCAGAGCTGATCCTAAACATCATTTTATACCTACAAGAACCAATTACTTAATGTCTCTTCCGTCTTTTCCTTCCCCGACCCCCTCCCAGACTCCTTCATTCCGGTACTGCGTGGACGGAAAGCCCCGGTAGCCGACACCACGTCCCCGGCTAGCGAGAGAGAGCGTAGAAAAGGATTACACCAAACTGTTTAAATCCAACGGCTCCTGCTTCCTTTCTCCTGAGCTAGACCCAACAAGCCCAGAGAGTTGGGCAACGGAAAAACTAGTATTTTCATTTAATTGGATATGAAGAAAGAACAAATATATACGGGGGCAACCACGATCTTTATAAAGGTACAATTCCTGCAAAAAATATTAGCCTTCAAAACAAAGGTTGTATTCGTATTGTTTGTTGAAATTTTTATTTAAAATAAGTTCTAACGGGAGGGGAGGTGTCACTATTAGAGATTCATTCATTTATTAATTGACATTGAGCGTTTAGAACGGTGGGCCCAACTGCCAGGAGCACGAGATGCAGTTATAAGATGGCTACTCGTGCATAGGCGAAGTTTTAATAAGACAACGAAGAGGAAGAAAATTAACCGTCGTTCCCTCCCGGTCCCCTTCCTAATCCCCAAGAAACTCTGGGAACAGGGATCTTGTTCGCCTAGTTTATCTTGCTATCTCATCACGTAATCCTTGGTCAAAGTATGCTGAATAACTTATTTGTTAAACAAAAGAAAATTCAACTCCCTCAAGTTTCTAAAGTAAAGAGCTCATAAAATTGAACATTAAAATGCTTTTTTTCCCAGAACTCTTTCTTTGAAACTTAAATGGAAAAAAAAAAAAAAAAGGAAAAAGTCCCTTTCTCCAATAAAGTTTAGGAGGTAATTATTGATTTTTCTTGCTGAAGGTATTTCTCCCCTTCTCTTACACATACTCAATAAAGGACACTTACCATCGTACTAGCCACTCAAACCCAAACCTCAAGGCTTAAATTCCTTTTCATTCACCCTTCACATCCAGTTTCTTTGCAAGTTTTGCCAATTCGCCTTTCCAAATATACTCTAAATTTTATTCTCTATCACTACGCTAGTCAAAGCCACTATTATTTTCCACCTAGATTGTATCTGCTTCCTAATGGATCTACCTGCTTCCTCTTTTGTCCTACATTCAATTTTTCAGATAGCAGCGAGAGTGATTTTTTAAAATTATGCATCAAGTATTGTTAGCTCCCGCATGAAAATCCACTGCAGTTAGAATAAAAATTAAATTTCTTAATGCGGTCTGAGGATCCATCAGGCATAGCCTGGCCTGCCTATCTCCCTGTCTCCCTGACTTTACTTCTATCTAGTCAGTCACTCTTACACACTGAGATCTAGCCATGGCGAACTGGGCATTTCTGTTTCACAAATAAAGATTCCTCTACACTAGCTTTCTTCTGCTGCCTGTGCCCCAGAATAACCATAACCATACCTCAAGTCTCAGTCCAAATGTCACTTCCTAAGTGAGGTTTTCCTTGGTATCTAAATTTGCATCCCAAATCCTCCAACACACATTACCACCCCATCACCCTGTTTTATTTTTTTTGTAGCACTAAACCTACCTGAATGTATTGTATTCAGTATTGGCTTATTGCCCTGTTTCTTGTCCGAAAGGCAGCATAACAAAGTCATTAAGACGATGAGAGCTGTAGCCTGACTGGCTTGGTTCTAAATTCCAGTTCTGCCCTTTCCTTGCCGTGTTGCCTTGAGCAAGCTGTTTTCCCTTTCTGTGCCTTCAGTTTCCTCCTGCGTAAAATGGGAATAATTCTAGTCTGTACTTCATAACGTTATTATAAGGATTACTGAATTAATATTTGTAAAGTGCTTAAAACTGTCTCAGAAAACATTAATTGTTAGTAAATGTTAGCTTTTATTATAATTAATATTATTTTTATTATTATTGTCTATCTTCCTGTATTAGAACATAAGTTCCAGGAAAGCAAGAACCTTGTGTCTCTTGTTCAGTGGTGTATCCTCTGCATATAGAACAGTGCCTGACACATAATAGGTGCTGAGTAAGTATTTGTTGAATGAATGAATGACTGATGCACTATGAAGTGGAGGAATGAGATAACAATGGCAAGATGGTGACACGATTATAGAAAATACCCTTGGTTTTTAAGTTCCAACTTCCCTTATCTGCCCTGAGCCAATCACCCTGATTCGTTTGACTATTAGCCTGTCACCTAATCCTTTTACCATCAACCTTAGTTAAACAACCATCCCGTAATTTCATTAACGTCAACATACCATATAGTCCACGAAATTTAAAGCTTTGACTTCAGTGGTCTGAAAGTATTAATAAGAAAAAGAAACTAAACATTTTTTACTTACCATTTTAAAGTACTAATATGAAAATGAAACTATAAAGCCTTTGACTTAAATGGTTTGAAAGTATAGAAAAAGAAGTGAAAAGTAAGTTTACTGAAAATTTAAAATTCACACTATCATATATAACCTCTGAAGAATTCTCATTTTAAACCGATTACCACAAATACCTAGTTGGGACCTTAATTCTGCCTACCAGTCCTCTTATACTCTCCTAATTGTTTATTTTCTCATTCTGCAATAATGTGATTTCCCACATTCCTCTCCTTAAATCTACTTACCTCTTCCACCCTCTTTCTTTCCTCATCGTCTTTCCCAGGAGTAGATGATATTCTGCCTCTCTGGGAAAATAAAAACTCTTAAACAAGGACTCCGTATCTGCTGTCCAGCAGATCTACCAAACTGCCTTTGTCTATACCTATACCCTCAACTTTACCTGTGTCAGTAAAGATGAGATGACCCAAACCCTTTCCGTTGTTCTCTGGGTCCCAATCCCTCCGGGGCCCATGGGCATCTTGCTATTTTTCTTATTTCTCATAATCTATCTTTTTCAGATCATTCTTACCAGCTTTTGGATATGGTGTAGTACATCATAAGCTTAAAAACTGCTCCTTCATTTTAATATGACAAGGCAGTATTTTAATTCAATGTGAAAAGCATGTTTTATATAATAACATAGCAAAACAGTTTATTCTTGCAGCAGGATGTAATGTAGGAATTTTAGTTTCAAAGTTATGTCCAATCGAATTAAACACCCAATAACTATAGAAATCCTAAGAAGAAAATTTAAGAGACTACTTATACAACCTGGGGTTTGTAAAGAAACTTTGATGGAGGCAGAACACTTAAGAGCTATAAAAGAAATCATTTTAAAAATTCATCTATATAAAAATATAATTTTATAGCAGCTGATGCCAAAAACAAAGTCAAAAGATAAATGCCAGAAGAGTAGACAAATTCTGTAATGTCTCTAACATATAAAGGTGTTTATAACTACCACTATTACTGCAAATACATATAATATAAAAAATACAGACCCCAATACAAAATTGGGCAGTGAATATAAATAGGCCATTCAGAAAAAGCAATTCCAAATAGACAATAAACATGAAAGACACTCAACCTCCCCACTGAGAAAATGGACAGTTACCATATTACAGCATGAGCTTGACAACAGTTTTTTAACTTAATGATGCAGTTAGATGGGGTTGAGGGAAAAGAAGATCCCATCAGACAGTGAAAGTTAAAGGTGTTCACAGTGATTTACAAGGCTCTCCTCAACCTCCTTGACCTCTCTTGATCCACTCTCTGTATGCCACATGCCTTCCTGATGCTGTTTAAGTGTAGCTGCTGCCTTAGGGCCCTTGCATTAGCTCTTTCTTGGCCAAGAACACTCTTGCCTGTATTATCCAAGTCTTTGTTCAAATGAGGTCAACCAACCCTGACAGCCATATTTAGAGTTGCAGTCCTCTTCCCACTTCCTCCTGTAACATTCTGCACTCCTTATCTCCTTTATCCTGCTGTACTCTTCTTTTTTATGTAGCAAATACTGTTTTCTTGATTGTATATAGTTTAGTCGTTTGTTATTTCTTTCTCTGCCTGGTCTATGCAGAATATAAATTCTGCAAAAGAAGCGATCTTTGTTTGCCCAATCATGTAGGCCATACATCTAAATGCCTGTTACCTATAGACATTTTCCAAATGAGTGAATAACTGACTGAATGGGTAAATGAATTTTGACAGGAAAAAAATACATCTTGATCTAAAAAGTATTGCCTTAATCTTTTTCTGTTTTTTAAAATATTCTATTTATTTATTTACTTATTTTTAGAGAGAGGGAAAGAGAAAGAAAGCGAGAGAAACATCAGTGTATGGCTGCCTCTTGAGCACCCCCTACTGGGGACCTGGCACACAACCCAGGCATGTGCCCTGACTAGTAATCAAACCCATGACCCTTTGGTTCCCAGGCCAACACTCAATCCACAGAGCTACACCAGCCAGGGCTTGTTTTCTGTTTTAAGGGAGAAAAAAAGTATTTTACATTCTGCTAGTATGAAATCTAGACTTGAAATAAAGATACATGAAGACCCAGAAAGATGATTTTTCTTTTAGGATAAAATCTCTAAATGAAAAATCCTGTTATTATCAGGCTGTATATGTCCCTCAAGATTCTAATTTGATCAGCCCCACCCCCAATCCATTCACAACTTCAATTTAATCCAACCTCCTGCCTCTTCCAGTTGAATCACTTTCCCCCATTCTAGTAAATCCCTCACTTAACAAAGTTACCAGCCCACAAATTGTGAAAATTTTGCTTGAAAATATTTCTTTGAGGCTCTCACTAAGAACCTGGAGGAAGAAACCCAATGATCACTAGTCATAGATCACATTTAAAAATAAGGAAATATAAATAATGGCATCAGCTCTAAATTTTTAATCTGTGTCCCAGACCTGGCTAGAGTTACACCTGATTCGGTGGGGCTCTTGTCACATAAGCCAGGAACAAAGCGACTAACTCCTTGTTTATACCCTCTTGGCTCTCGGTCTGTACCCATGCCTGCTTAATGTCCTGAACACATGGATGAAAAACATAAATAAATAAATAAAATTTCAACGGAAAAATGACCGGTTTTCTAACAGAAAATGATGGTGCTTTAATCTGTTTTGTTAACTGGAAAAAACAGAACAATAAATTAGCTTGCTTTCTACTAACAAAATCCTGATTTTAAATTAAGATGTTGTGGGGCCCAGAGAGATGATTTCCTGGAGAAAGCCTCAGAATGAATTTGCCTGATGGTCCAGGCTAGATACCTGGCTACTGTTAAAATTTAACTACCTCTTACCTAATCTGAGTGCATGGCTACCTCACTAGCTAGCTAATCCACTGATACTAAGACCATTAAAAACAAACATTAAAAAAGTTAAAACTAAACAACTAAAATACAGAAAATAGAGGGATAGAAAAAGATACTCCAGGCAAATTCTAAACAAGAAACTTTATGAAGCAGTGAATTATCAGAGGGTTCTTTAAATAGAGTAGCATTAACAAGGACATTAATAAGGGCTACTCATCGCATCACAAAGAAAAATCCACTAGGTAAATATGACTATCATGAACATGTATGTGTACAATTTTGTAAACACATAGTCTGGAAAAATCTGAAGCAAAAAATAAAAGGAAAAACACAAATGTGTTTTATGGTGAAAATTTACGATCACAAAGTTCTCTCAGATTAATAAATCAACAACTTAACACTAGTGAATTGTGTGCATAGATATGTATACTTATTGCATTTATATATACATATGTATTTATATTTATATATTGACTTATATATGTTTTATAAAATCCTTCAAAGAATAAAAAATTATAATTAACAAATATCCTACTTTTTTTTTTGTTTTTCTTCCCTTTTTTTTTTAGTATACTAAAAATAATTTTATAAAAAAAAAAAAAATATTTTTTATTATAAAAAATAACCAAGAGTTTTCCTGGTTTCATAATCTTGTCACACTTGATATTGTCCAACTTTTCAGTTTTCACTTATCTGGTGGGTATATAGTGATATGTCACTGAGGTCTCAATTTGCATTTTCTTGTTTACTAATAATCTTTCATATGTTTATTGTCCACTTGGACTTCTTCTCTTGTGAGGTGTCTGTTTAAGCCTTCTATTGAATTGTCCTTTTCTTACTGGTTTCTCTGAGTTCTGTTTTTTGGGGCACCAGTTCTCTGTCTTATTTGTGCTACACACATGTATTTTCTACTTCTTGGCCTCTCTTTTTGGTATATTTTGATATACAAAAATCTTCAATATTAGACTAGTTCAATTTTTCACTCTTGTCCTTTTTGCTTAATGCATGGTATTCCTTGATTAAGAAGTTTTTCCTTACTTTGAGGTTATGTTGTTATTCTCAGATACTATCATCTAAAGGTCTTAGAGTTATGCCTTTTACAACTCTACCAGGAATTCATTTTTGCACACAGTGTGATGGGGTGTGGGTCTTGAAATCTGGTAGAGTAAGTGAATGCTTTTCTTTCTTTGCTCTTTATACTTCAATATAAAATTTAAAGTTTCATGTGCTACAAAAATAGAATAGTTTCATGTGCTAAAATTTTTTTGAAATTTTTATTGGGATAACATTGAATCTATAGGTCTACTTTTTTTAATTGACATTTCTACAATATTGAGTCTTAAATCTGTTGATAATTTATGTCATTCTATTTAGTTAGGTTTTCCTTAATTGCCTCTCAGTAAGTTTACATTGTTGTCTTCATAGAAGTTTAGCTATAGGTGCTACTTAATTTTTAATGCTATTACAAATAACATCTTTTTTAAATTTTTGATTGTCTGTTTTTGCTGGTACATATAAATACAATTGTTTTTATATATTGCTCTTTTAAATTCAGAGACCTTGCTAAACCCTCTTATTAAATAAATTAGTTTATTCATAGATCTTTTGAAATTTCACATATACAATCATACCTATGAATAATAACAGCTTGTTTCTTCCTTTCCTCTATTTTCCCCTTTTCCCTTTTTTGCCTTGCCTTCGTATGTTGGATAGAACTTCCAGGACAATGTTGAATAAAAGAGGTGGTCACAGGCATTCTTGTCTTTTTCCTGATCTGAAAGGGAAAGGTTTTACCTTTACACTATTAAGTATGAGGTTTACTGAAGGTTTTG